ATTCTACCTACTTTGAACTGCTCTTAAAGTTTGTTTTAATGTTTCCTATAGCTATTGTTAAAAGAAGCTTTTATGATGAGAAATGTGGTTGTTTTTTTCCCACATAGATTGAATTAAAAATTTTTAAAGTTGTTACTTTTGTGAGTTTCATACAGTATCTGTTTAGTTACTATTACTTATTTAACTATAGATGGTCAACTGATGGAGGGTGATAAAGTATATTGGCCTACTCAGTCAGCTTTAACCACACGTTTGAGGCGTCTCATCACTGCATACCAGCGTACTAATAAAAACAGACAAATTCAACAGATACAACCAACTTTCTCAGTGCCTACCAGTGTAATGCAGCCTATTTATGAGGAAGCCACTCTTAATCCTAAAATGGCAGCCAAGATAGAAAGACAGCAAAGGTAAGACAATAACACTAAATTTTTAATGCATTGTGTGTAAATATAGCTGTTCATTCCAAAGCCTATCTGGGTACAATTATCACGCTTTGTGGAAAACATACATAGAATGTTGGTCAAAGCAAACTACCTTGTGCACGTACACACATATCTAACACATTTATATTTGTATAAGTGTGGTAAAATTTACAAAGATTACTGTGTTTTATAGTTAACTAACCATACTTTAATCATTTTTTTGTCATGTTTAGGAACACTGAGGTATTTAAAAACTAAATAAATAACTGGGCACAGTGGCTAATGCCTATAATCCCAGCACTTTGGGAGGCCGAGGTGGGAAGATTGCTTGAGCTCAGGAGTTCCAGACCAGCCCCGGCAACAAAGCGAGACCCCCATCTCTACAAAAAATGCAAAAATTAGCCAGGTGTGGTGGCGCATGCCTGTGGTCCCAGCCACTCAGGAGACTAAAGTGGGAGTATCACTTGAGCCGGGAAGGTCTGTGCTGCAGTGACACGTGATTGTGCCACTGCATTGCAGCCTAAGTGACAGAGCAAGACTGTCTCAAAAAGCAGAAACAAGTGAAGGTGTAGAGCAAACTCATGAATCGAATCATTGGCCGGGCGCCATGGCTCACACCTGTAATCCCAGCACTTTGGGAGGCCGAGGTGGGTGAATTGCTTGAGGCCAGGAGTTGGAGACCAGCCTGGCTAACATGGCAAAACCCCATCTCTACTAAAAATACAAAAATTAGCCAGGTGTGGTGGTGCGCACCTTTAATCCCAGCTACTTAGGAGGCTGAGGCATGAGAATCGCTTGAACCCAGAAGGCAGAGGTTGCAGTGAGCTGATATCACACCACTGAACTCCAGCCTGAGTGACAGAGTGAGACCATCTCAAAAAAAAAAAAAAGAAAAGAATTATCAGTAGAACAAAAGTTTATGTTAATTAAATTCCATTCTATCGTATTTTACATTTTATATCCAGACTTTTATGAAATATAAAAATGTATGGAAAGCATACATTCGTTTATTCAGAAGCAAATCCTTGGAACTACTGAAGTCAAAGGGAACAAATTGCAAGCGACCTTGTTAAAAAGACAGGCAAACTTCTCTGATTCCACAAGCTTTAACTTCTTGAATAGAGTACATGGGAAAGAATAGCTGTCTTTGGCATAACCTGACTTCCTTGTTACCCGTGTCCTTGGATGTTCTCTGGAAGATATATTGTTCTTTTGATAAATTGTTCATTTGTTGTTTCATTTGTAGCACATTGATCATACTTAAAATTTAGTCTGACACTTAAGATTTTAGTTACCTTAGTCATAATTTTCAAATACTACTGACTCTGTAAATGAACTGTTTTTGGTATCTATTGTTGCATAACAAACTACCCGAAAACACAATGCTTTAAAACAGCATTAATTTTTTATTTCTCCCAATTCTGTGAGTTGATCCAGGTGCTGCTTCTGCATTGTATGCTGTTGGCTGGGTTTCTGAGATACCTAGAAGAGCCAAGGAGCCACAGTAGCCTCACTCATACGACTTAACAGTTGGTGCTAGCTGCCAGCTGGGAGCTCAGATCCCAAGAGGGACTATTCCAAGGAGAAAGGCAGAAGCTGCAGATTTCTTATGACCCAGTCTCAGTACTTACAAATTGTTGGTCAGAAAAAGCCACAAGGCCAGCCCAGATTTAGGGAAAAGGGAAATAGACTCTACCTGTTAATGGAAAGAGTGGCAAAGCATTTGTGACCGTCTTTAATCTACTACAAATTTTCCCTCCATCTGTTGAATTGGGATTAATCTTCCTAAAATATTAGTTTTATCATAATATTCGATGGCTCCTTATTTAGTATAGGTAAAAAGTGTTAAGTTCTTAAGCCTAAGTTTGAAGGCCTCTTCATTTTTGGTTTTTTTTTTTTTTTTTTTTTTTTTGAGGCTGAGGTCTCACCTGCCTGCCAGCTCTGTCACCAAGGCTGGAGTGCAGTGGCCGCTCTCTGCTCCTTGCAAGCTCCGCCTCCCGGAGTTCGCGCAATTTATACTTGCACTCAGCGCCACCTGAGCGAGCTGGGACTACAGGTGCCGCCACTCTCGCCCGGCTTATTTTTTGTATACTCATTTAGTAGGCGAGGTTTCTCATCGGCCAGCGGGATGATGATCTCGATCTCTGACCTGGCGGGCATCCATCCCGTCTCGGCCTCCCAAGTGCCCAGAGACTACAGGCTTGAGCTTTTTTTTTTTTGTATTTTTAGTAGAGACGGGGTTTCACCATGTTAGCCAGGATGGTCTCGATCTCCTGACCTCGTGATCCGCCCGTCTCGGCCTCCCAAAGTGCTGGGATTACAGGCTTGAGCCACCGCGCCCGGCCCATTTTTGGTTTTAATATGCATTTCTAACTTTATCCACTTCTTTTCCCTCAGCCAGAGTGCCCTACTTATTCTTGACTTCATACCCTAGCCTATATTGTTTCTGTCACCTGGAACACCCTTTCTACCTGTTTATTTCACACCTAGCCCATCCTTCAGAGCTCAGCATATGGCCCATTTCCTCAAATAATTTTTTTTTTTTTTTTGAGACGGAGTCTCCCTCCATCACCCAGGCTGGAGTAAAGTGGCACAATCGTGGCTCACTGCAGCCTCTGCCTCCGGGGTTCAAGCGATTCTCCTGCCTCAGCCTCCAGAGTGGCTGAGACTACAGGTGTGTTTTGTATATTTAGTAGAGACTGGGTTTCACCATGTTGCCCAGGCTTGTCTTGAACTCCTGACCTCAAGTGGTCCGTCTGCCTCAGCCTCCCAAAGTGCTGGGATTACAGGCATGAGCCACTGCACCCGGCCTCTTCTATTAATTTTTTAAACCAGTCTAGCTCACAGTATTCTATTTTTTGTACTCACATAGCAACTCATCTAAGTAAACTACTTGTTTGTCACAATAATAAAAGATACTGTAATGAAATTCATCTTTTCCTTTCTATGTCTTTCTCAATTGTATCTTCTTGGGAGTGGGCACTCTGTCATATTTTTTGTCCTGTGTAGTCTTTCAATTAATCATTTTTCCCATTTTTATTCTTACTACGCAGATTGAATGACTTGGGTTTCCCAAGCTAACTATTTTTACATCATAATTACATTAATCTTCTTAATGTATCACTATGATAAAAATGGCCCATTCACATTTTTCAAAGGTCTTTCCAATATGTTTTTTCTCATTTACACAACAATCCTGTGAGTTAAGCAAGGACAGGGTTCTACACATGCACTGAGGTTTGCAGATCTGTGGTGCATGATGATAATATTACCATTTCAAAGCATCAGGAGCTTTCAACTGAAAGAGATTACTTTTACCCAGGCATTTAGGGCATTTCATAATCTGACCCAAACCCTATCTGGCCTTGTCCCCAATATAAGCCATATCCTTGTCAATCCGGAATACTCATCCTTCCCCTACAATATGGAGCACTCCCTCTTTGCTTACTCTGTGCTTTCTTCCTAGCTTTCCCTAACCTTAGCCTTGTCCCATCTGAAATGCCTCTTACTCTGTGATGCCTTTCTTGATTGTCAAGTCTGAACTAATCCTTCTATCTTCTGTGCTCTCCTGAAAATTTTGGTTTCTTTAACTCATACAAATATAAGCCATTACCTTATACTATAAATGTGTTTGATTTTATCTTTTTCCTGAAGGACAGTGTCATCTTACATGATTTTGTATCCTGTGCTTATTTTCTCACATAGTAAAAATGCAAACACTGTTACTGTCTGAAGGAATAGTGTATACTTCTAAAAGTATGTTGGGGACACATGTAATCAGGACCTCCTGAGGCTGTGTCACAGGCACACATCCTTAACTATTAAAAGTGATTGTTTTTCTTTTTTTTTTTTTTTTTTTGAGACAGAGTCTCGCTCTGTTGCCCAGGCTGGAGTGCAGTGGTGTAATCTCATGTCACTGCAAGCTCCGCCTCCTGGGTTCACACCATTCTCCTGCCTCAGCCTCCCAAGTAGCTGGGACTACAGGCGCTGACCACCATGCCCAGCTAATTTTATTTTTGTATTTTTAGTAGAGACGAGGTTTCACCGTGTTAGCCAGGATGGTCTCGATCTCGTGACCTCGTGATCTGCCTGCCTCAGCCTCCCAAAGTGCTGGGATTACAAGCGTGAGCCATTGCTCCCGGCCCATTAAAAGTAAATTTTTTAAAAAAACATATGGCTGGATAGATGAGTTAACTAGCATTTTAAAATGTTTTACAAGGCAGCAATCTTGTATTTAATCCTATAGTGTTAGGTACTTGAAATGTTTTAAGTTTGTATTATAGTAATTATATTTAGTATTAATATTAATTTTAGTGACCAGTGTGGTTTTTGTTTTAATCTGACTCAAAACAGATGGACAAGAAGAGAAGAAGCTGACTTTTATAGGGTTGTATCTACATTTGGAGTCGTTTTTGACCCTGACAGAGGCCAGTTTGATTGGACAAAATTTAGAGCTATGGCTAGGCTACATAAGAAAACTGATGATAGTTTGGAAAAATATTTGTATGCATTCATGTCCATGTGTCGGAGGGTTTGTCGTCTTCCTTCCAAAGAAGGTATGTATAAAATTTCTTTTTTTTCCTTGTTTCGGTCAAAGAAGCAAAAATCACTAAAATTCAGAAATTTCCAATTTGTCTCTTTTATGTAAAATTTCAATACTATCTAATTCAACTTGTCAATAATTTTTTAGAATTGTAAATAAACTAGCTTAAAGATCCCTTATTCTTTAATCCTGCTATTAAAATGAGATCTAAAGAGAATAAAGGTATACATGGAGTTTTAAGAAAATAGGTAGAGTTTAGTGATAGATTTATGATTAGGAGGTGGTGGAAGATAAAGGATTGCTTTTGTTAAACAGAACTAACCTATATTTTCAGTCCATCTTAGAGGAATTGCACTAGAGGGTTTATTTACCTAAATAATTTTGCAAGGAATGAAGCCCCCACTCATAAAACATTTTAAAGAATTTTCTAGAAAAGATCTCCCAGGGCCATCTTCACAGAAGACTACTAAGCAGAGGTGTTGATGCAACTCAACTAATGAATTGTTCTGGGATGCATTTCATTGTCTTCAAAGCCCAGAGACATAGCTCATCCTGTCAGCAGTTCTTCTCAGTAATGCTATGTCATGAACCATTGTCTCCATTCTTTGTTGTGTATGATTTCTGACTGCTAAACCCAATGGCCTGCTATTCCTGTTTTATAGTAAACAGATTTCCTTACTTGTTTTAAATGTATTTCCTAACAGATTTTTTTGTCAGTTCACTGAATGGAGTAGCCAATCACTTGATTACTAGGTAATTCAGAGTAGATTTCAGTCTGTTTTCAGGTCTACTGGAAAACCATAAATGAGTTTAAAATGACAGATAAAGCAAAATATTGTGTCATTTATAGTTGGCAAGAAGCCCTCATTTTTAAAAAGTTTTCTTAATTCCCATCAATGATATAGTAATATGAATATATTTATCACTTTTGATTCTAGTTTTAAAAGGGAAAGGGCTAATTACTAAATAATCTTTGAAAATGTAGGGCTTCCTCAGAAATGTGAGTAAGGATATTTGAGGCAGGGGCATGAGGTGATGGTGGCCAGGCTCAGGCCAGGACCCCACTCCTTCCAGTGGCACCATGGGGAAGGCCGTGGGCAACCCAAAGCAGGCACTGCCCTGCGTGGCCAAGTCATGGACAGTCCACATGGAGGTGCATCAGTACAGAGGCAACACTGCAAAAAAGAAAAAAAAAAGACATAAAGCTGAGTGTTAGAAAGATACTCTCCAGGCTGGGCACAATGGCTCACGCCTGTAATCCCAGCACTTTGGGAGGCCAAGGTAGGAGGATCACTTGAGCCCAGAAGTTTGAGACAAACCAGGGCAACATAGGGAGACCCCATGTCTACCAAAAAAAAAAAAAAAATAGCCACGTGTAGTGGTGCATGACTGTGGTCCCAGCTACTTGAGAGGCTAAGGCAGGACCCAGGACCTGGACCCAGGACCCAGGACTAGGACCCAGAAGGTCGAGGCTGCAGTGACCCATGATGACACCACTGCACTTGATCTCCAGCAACAGACCTTGTCCCTAAAATAAATGAACAGAAAGTTTACTCACCAAACATAATACTGTGTTTGGTGATTATACGTGGACTGTTTGATGAACCCTTTCTGACCAGGAATATGCAGGATTCTATTGTTGACACAGAATTAAAGGTTAAAGACCCATAGCTCATTGATTTGAGTGCATGCACTATTGCATTTCACATCTTCCAGCAGAATGAAGATGGCCCTAGCAGTGAAAATTTGGAGGAAGAGACAGAAGATATAATTGTGGCAAATCATGGGGTTCTGCCTACAGCCAAATCCCATGGGCTTTGGAACAGTGTGTCTGATGTGGGAAGTCAAATCACACCTTGATTATGTGATTACAACCTTACCATTTTCAGACAAGAATGTCAACAGCAGCCTCAGCACCTGGAACCAGGTGGTGCTGCTGCAGGGTCCTCCAGGAACTGGAAAAACATTCCTATGTAAAGCATTAGCCCAGAAGTTGACTATTAAACTTTCAAGCAGGTATCGGTATGGCCAATTAATTGAAATAAATAGCCCTAGCCTCTTTTCTAAGCAGTTTTCCAAAAGTGACAAGCTGATAACTAACATGTTCCAGAAGATTTAGGATTTGATTGATTATAAAGATGCTGTGGCATTTTCACTGATTGATGAGATAGAAAGTCTCACAGCCACCCATAATGAAAGCCATCAGGCGCCATTGGCAGGGTCAACACTGTCTTGGCCCAAATTAAATTAAAAGGCATTTTAATGTAGTGATTCCAATTACTTCCCAACATCACCGTGAAGATTGACATGACTTTTGTGGACAGGTCTGCTATCACACAGTGTATTGGTCTGCGCTCTGCAGCAGCCATCTTCAAAATTTACCTTTTTTGTTTGGAAGAACTTGTCAAGTGACAAGTCATATACCCTCCTCAGCAGCTTTTAACCCTCCAAAAGCTGGAGATGATTGGCTTCATTGAAAACAAGGTGTCAAAATTGAGCTTCCTTTTGAGTGACATTTCAAAGAAGATCAAAGGCCTCCATGGCCAGTTCCTGAGGAAACTCCTTTTTCTGGCTCATACACTGTATGTCCAGGCTACACCAGGCTTTCTCTCTGGCCGTGGACAAGCAGTCTGAAGAGACCCAAGAAGCTTTCAGCTTACATTTGGTCCTGGGCTTCCCATTCTATAGCTTTATAGTGGAGAGCACACAAATAGTAAGTAATACCACTTGCCTCACAACAGCCACCACTCTGGAAATCCTCTCTATAAAAATTTGCTTAGATCTGCCTACAAGCCAGAAACCTACAACACCAACCTTTGTTATAAGTATCATATTTACTTTAGTTTAAAATGCACATTAGAAGACAAACAGCTTGTCATTTTAACTGTTTTTTAAAGATAAATTCAAATGTTTAAAAGATAATTCAAATGTTAATTTGAATGTCTCTTTTGTTAAGAATTATCTCAGTGTGACCAGCACAGTGACTCATGCCTGTAATCCCAACACTTTGGGAGGCTAAGGCAGGTGGATCATAAGGTCAGGAGGTCGAGACCATCCTGGCCAACATGGTGAAATCCCGTCTCTACTAAAGATACAAAAAATTAGCTGGGTATAGTGGCACGGACCTATAATCCCAGCTACTCGGGAGGCTGAGGCAGGAGAATCGCTTGAACCTGGGAGGTGGAGATTGCAGTGAGCTGAGATCACGTCATTGCACTCCAGCCTGGGTGACAGAGTGAGACTCCGTCTCAAAAAAAAAAAAAAAAAAAAAGAATTATCTAAGTGTGTCTATTTCTATCCTGCTTCCAACTGATGGATGCAAAATGCTACACAAGTTTAGTTTTTTTAAAAAAGGAAGATTAACATAGGTATTATAGAAGCAGGAGAACTGTATCACCCTAAATAAGCATGTAATCATAGCATTAAAAAATGAACATATCATTCAAGCTAGAATGTGGCAATGGCTTTATGATGTCAGCTTGATTAATGCAAAAATGGCTTGGAGACTTTTTAATGGATAAGAAAAACCTATTTGTATGTTAATAGAAATTGAGAGAAAATTCTAGGTAACTGTTCTTTTATAATAATCAAACATGGTCCCATTTGCAGGAAGAGTGCAGACCCGCCGTGTTCAAGTGAGATGCGTGCTGGACATCCCTCATAAACCAGTGCAGGCACACATGCATTGCTTGGATATTCCCATTGTTTTGTTGGTTCAATAACATTATTCACATCTCAAGCCAGACATGGTGGCTTACGCCTGTAATCCCCACATTTTGGGAGGTCAGCACTGGTGGGGCAACATGGTGAAACCCTGTTTATACTAAAAATACAAAAATTAGCCGAGCGTGGTGGCAGGCACCCGTAATCCCAGCTGTTCGGGAGGCCAAGGCACGAGAATCGCTTGAGCCCAGGAGGCAGAGGTTGCAGTGAGCCAAGATCGCACCATTGCACTCCAGCATGGGCGATAGAGCAAGCCTCTGTCTCAAAAAAAGAAAAAAATAAAACAAAACATTATTCCCATCTCAAATGATGATTCATGTTAATAGAATATAAGATAAATGGGACAATAATTGGTCTATGTTAAATAATATGTTTTGCTTTTATGTCATGTTAAATTTCAGTTGCTTCTTTTAGCCTTTTGGCTAAGATCAAATGTAAAATTGATTTCATATTAATGCTTTGTTTAAAAAAATGTGAGTGAGGTTGAGGTTCTACTTAGAGCATTTCTCAGATTTCCTCACTTTACAGTGTCCTTAATGTCTCAGTAATTTTTTTCACAGCACTCAAGGCCAGAAGAATTACCTAACATTTCTGTCTAATGAATAATTAGGTCTGACAACTCAATAAATATTTATGTCCCCACAATCCAGTAATTATTTAAAAACACACTCAAAGAAAAAATAATACTTCTTTCTTTCTTAAGTAGCCATAATTACTAATCAAATGTGTGCACTGGTTGGGCACGGTATAACTTTTCAAATCTTAGAAGTAGACTGTGTACTTCCCACCTTGTTTCCTGCTCCATGTTGATTTTTGCATGGTCCTTGATTTTTTTTCAAGTTTTTTTGTTTTGAACTACTTTTAAAATTACAGAAGAGTGCAAAAAATGTACAAGGAGTTTCCATCTATCTCTCACCCTTCCTATCTCTCTCTCTCTTTTTTTTTTTTTTTTTTTTTTTTGAGACGGAGTCTCGCTCGGTCATCTAGGCTGGAGTGCAGTGGCGTGATCTCGGCTCACTGCAAGCTCCGCCCTGGGTTCACGCCATTCTCCTGCCTTAGCCTCCTGAGTATCTGGGACTACAGGCGCCGGCCACCACGCCCGGCTAATTTTTTAGTAGAGACGGGGTTTCACTGTGTTAGCCAGGATGGTCTCAACATCCTGACCTCATGATCCACCCGCCTCGGCCTCCCAAAGTGCTGGGATTACAGGCGTGAGCCACTGTGCCCGGCCCTTCCTCTCTTAATGTTAACATTTTATCAGAGTAATTATAGTATAATTATCAAAACAGGAAATTAACATTAATGCCATTAATTAAACTACTTATTTTAGTTTTACCAATTTTTCAACTAATATCCTTTTTTGTTCCAAGATCCTACAGTGTATTTGCTTTTTCTTTCTCGTTAGCTTCCTGCAGTCTGTAACAGGTTCTCAGCTGCTCCTTATCTTTAATGACTTTGATACCTTTGAAAAGTGTTGATCAGTTATTTAGCTGTGTATCCCTCAATTTGAGCTTGTCTTATGTTTTTACATGAGTGGATTGAGGTCATGCATTTTTGGCAAGGGTGCCACAGAAATGATGTGTTCTCAGAATGTAGTATCAAGGGATTGGTGATGTCAGTATGTCTTATTACTGATGATGTTGACTTTAATTGTGTGGTTAAGGTAGTTTATGCCACATTTGGCCAGCGTAAAAATACTGTAATTAACAAATATCTTAAGCTTCACAAATCTTGTTTCTTCTGAAACTTTCACCCATTGATTTTTAGTATCTTCCAGATACTAAATCTTGTCTACAGCAGTTTTTTCTGTGGAATTCTGCTGTAAGAAAGGATGTTTCCTTCTCTCTCGTCTATTTAATAATCAGTTATTTATTCATACCAGTATGGATTCATGGATACTTATTCTATAGGTTACAATCCAGTATTGTCTTTATTTATTGCTCAGATTGTTCCGTATTTGGCATTAGGAGCTGCTTATGTTGGTCCCTGCATTATTTCAGCAAGCCTGTATTTCTTGAGTACTTCCCAAGTGTCAGTAACCCACTTTTGCAAAGGCATAACCTTATCAAAGGGGAGGTAGCATGAGCTCATGTTGAAACTGAACTGTCTCAAGCTAGTAATTTGTACAGTGTTTGAAAGATGTGGCTGTTTTTCCCTAGAAATTTGAGAAAGCCCTTGTTGCCCCGTGAGTTCATTCCAATGTCCTATTCCCTTTTGCAGTTTGAGATATGCCAGCTTACATTTGTTTATGGAGTATCACTTACAAGCTTGTCCAGCCCATGGCCCAGGACAGCTTTGAATGCGGCCCAACACAAATTTGTAAACTTTCTTAAAATATCATGAGGTCGTTTTTTGGGTTTTTTTTTTTTTTTTTTTTTTTGCAATTTTTTTAAGCTCATCAGCTACCATTAGTGTTAGTGTATTTTGTATGTGGCCCAATACAATTCTTCTTAAAATGCAGCCCAGGGAAGCCAAAAGATTGGACAACCCTGAACAGTTCTAATTTATATTTATAAGTGAGTTTGAGCAAGTGTTTGTGTCTTTAAGGCAAGTGTTATTAAATGCATAGGTCATAGGGAATTTCTTAAAAGAAAATTCCCAGTTCTATTAATGTACTTCCAAAATAATCTTATGTTTTACATTAACATCCAGTGTTTTATGTTACATGATTTTTAGTACTTATTTTTAAAACTTTCTCCTCACTGGAATTTCAGAATTTCAAAATCCTCACTGAATTTCTCCTCACTGAAAAGAAATTCTAGGAACTATACAGTGATACTACATGGAGGCACATTTTAGAAATGGTATTGTTATAAATATATAAAGATGTGTTTATAATGATTTATTTATAAATAGAGGATTTTTGAGATTAATATTTTTGTCCTTTTTTCAATATGTAGAATTGGTGGATCCAAATATTTTTATCCAGCCCATCACAGAAGAACGTGCTTCTAGGACTTTGTATCGCATTGAACTTCTAAGGAAAGTACGGGAACAGGCCCTTCGACATCCACAGTTGTTTGAACGCTTAAAGCTTTGTCATCCAAATCCAGATTTACCAGTCTGGTGGGAATGTGGCCCTCATGATAGGGACTTGCTTATTGGTGCTGCCAAACATGGGGTGAGCCGAACAGACTATCACATTCTTCGTGATCCTGAACTCTCATTTATGGCAGCTCAGAGGAGCTACAGTCAAAGTAAGATAGCTCATTCAAGGACTTCTACCCCACTTTTACAGCAATATCAAGTAGCACTTTCTGCTTCTCCTCTTACCTCTCTACCTAGGCTCCTAGATGCTAAAGGTATTATTCTAGAGGAGATGAAAGTTAAAAGTGAAAACCTTAAAGAGGAGCCTCAGTCTTCTGAAGAAGAATCTATGTCTTCTGTGGAAACCAGGACACTAATAAAATCTGAACCTGTAAGTCCAAAGAATGGTGTTTTACCACAGGCTACTGGAGACCAGAAATCTGGTGGAAAAAGTGAAACAGACAGACGCATGGTTGCAGCCAGAACGGAACCTCTAACTCCAAACCCAGCTTCTAAGAAACCAAGAGTCCACAAAAGAGGATCGGAATCCAGCTCTGATTCTGACTCAGATTCTGAGAGATCATCCTGTTCTTCCAGATCATCTTCTTCCTCATCGTCCTCCTCTTCTTGCTCCCACTCTCGATCAGGCTCTAGTTCTTCTTCATCTTCATCTTGTTCTTCAGCATCTTCTTCATCCTCCTCCTCTACCTCTTCCTCCTCCTCCTCCTCTTCATCTTCATCAGAAGAAAGCGACAGTGATGAAGAGGAAGCCCAAAAACGAGGTACTGTGCATAAAATAATTCTACATTTTTAAGATAACTTTTCTTTTTTTCTTTTTTTTGGAGGCAGAGTTTCGCTCTTGTTGCCCAGGCTGGAGTGCAATGGTGCAATCTCAGCTCACTTCAACCTCTACCTCCTGGGTTCAAGCGACTCTCCTGCCTCAGCCTCCCAAGTAGCTGGGATTACAGGCATGTGCCACCATGTGTATTTTTAGTAGAGACTGGGTTTCTCCATGTTGGTCAGGCTTATCTCAAACTCCCGACCTCAGGTGATTTGCCCACCTCAGCCTCCCAAAGTGCTGGGATTACAGGCATGAGCCACCAGGCCCAGCCTAATATAACTTTTCAAGTGAAAATGAAAAGAACTTGCTTCAGGTAACTTAAGGATATTTAAAATTGTTTACTTAAGGTGTTTTTTTTGTTTGTTTTGAAACGGAGTCTTGCTCTGTCGCCTAGGCTGGAGTGCAATGGCATGATCTCAGCTCACTGCAACCTCCGCCTCCCGGGTTCAAGCAATTCTCCTGCCTCAGCCTCCTGAGTAGC